TCATGTGGGCAGCAGGAAATGGATGCGTGCTTGGAGGGTTCCTGAGTAGCGAGTACAAAGTCTATCTCGGGCGAGGCAGTGCTTGAGGGTTTGCTTGCTCTGCAAGCACGCTATGAAACCAATAGGATTGGCTGCCAAAAGATGGTTCCAGCTAAGGCAAAGAATGATGCCCGGTACATGGCAAGGCCAGCCCAGCCTGCCCCGCAGTGGTAGAGATGAGAGTCATCAGGAACTGGGGTGAGGGAGGATGTGGGACATTCAAGTGGGCTTCAGGCATACGTGGAGTATTAGAAAACAAAGTGGATTTCTTCTGGATTGTTCCAAAGGAGGAAGGTTTGTACTTGATGAAGGCAACATCTTCTAATAATGAGAGGTTCTAACAATGGGCATAGCCAGCGGGTATTGCTCTCCCTGAACTGGAAATGATGTTCCCAACGTGATCCTAATTCTGGATTCCTTCTGGATATAAGAAGGCACCCTGGGTCATGATCTCACGATCATGGGGGTATTGGGACGATCTCATGATCTCAGGTCTTGGGATCGAGCCCCCCTCTCTCGTCCTCTTGTCGGCTGTGCTCTCAGTGGGGAGTCAGCTTGGACAGTCTCTCCCTCTGCCCCTCCCCCCACCCGAGTGTGCATGCTCACTCTCTGTGTCTGTCTCTCTCATAAATAGATACATCTTAAAAAATTTTTTTAATTAAAAAAATTAAAAAAAAAAAAAAAAGGCGCCCTGGCCTGGTGGGAGAGACAGACACAGAAGCAGAGCTGAGGGCCACCTTGGAAGCTTGGGTGGGGCCCCTCAGGGCCTGGCTTCCCCTCCAAGCTGAGGATGAGGATGTGCTTGCTGTCTGTCCTCTGGCCCATGCTGAGCCTTTGACCTCCGCCGGGCCCCCTCTTGCCTTCTCAGGCGGGAAAGTGAATGAGTTTTGCAGCCAGCCTGCTTGGCAGCCTGAGGGGAGTCAAGTCTCAGGGCTGTCAAGCCATGCCCACATGCTGGGTCTACTAGGGTCCCCTCTGTGCTACATGCTTAGCATGCTCCGCTTTCTCCCTGGGTGTCCGCTGGGCCTTTCATGGCTCCCTCAGCATGTGTCTGCTTCCCAGCGAGTGTGACTCTGGCCAGGGATGGATACACCTGGGCACCTGTCCTTGAGTGGGTGTAGGTGACAGGAGGGGGGCAGGAAGTGATGAGCAGCTATTGAGGGAGGAAAGAAGGATACATGAAGGAGAGGGAATGATATAGGCTGACGTTTAGAGCTTAAGTGGGGAGGTGGCAAGGGGCGGGAGGGGAAGAGAAGACCCTCTAGAAGAAGGGGGTTCAACACAGGGTCATAGACCTGCTCCTGTTACCACCAAGCCCTACCGCCCACCCACACAAGCCACCCACTCCCTGATCCCCACACCCACCCCGCATCGGGTTCCCTGCTTCTCCCTCTCCCACCTCGATTTTGGCCCGTTGGTCTCAGCATTTTTTCCTTAAAAAGGCAGATTTGAAGCCGCCTGTGCACACCCATTCCTGACCCCATTCTGTTCCTTCCCTCGCCGGAGGGATTTGGGTTTGTCATTCTGATGCACGTTTTCTCCTATTTATGCCATTAATGAGCAGGAATGCTTCCATATACCACACGTAGGAACAGAGCATGAGCTTTTGATGCGTTCTGCCCATGGTGGGTCCTTGGGCTGCTTCCAGGGTTGGCTATTAAGACGACGCTGCTCACAGCCCGTGGCTTGGTTTAGGCTCCCTCTTCTGTTTGCACTGGTTTTCCTACTGTGTTTGTATTTTCTTAGTGTTTTGTTGGAATTCTTTACAGAATATTCTGGATAATCCTTTATCAGTTCTATGCATTGTAAGCATCCTCTCTTAGCCTGTCTTATCTTTTCACTGTGTTTCTGTCCCTTGTTCGGAAGTTTTACTTTTAACATAGTCAAATTTGTGTCTTTTCCATTCTTGCTTTCCCATTGTTTATCTTAAGAATTCTCTATTTCAACATCATGGACATTGTTCTCTCACCTCCACGGTAGGCAGTTTTGCTTTGTCCATTTAGGATTTTGATTCCAGTTTGGATTGTTTGTCAGGGGCTTGGAGTGGTGGCAGCAGGGGAGGGAGGTGGTGAGCGGGAGTGGGTCTTGGGTGTCTTGGTGGGGAGAGCCTCTGGGCCTGTGGAGACATTTGCATGTGACTCAAGGTGGGGAATCTGAGGGTCGGTACTGTGTGCCTGGCCCCAGGCTACTTTGCTCATCACCCCACACTTCCCCACCTTGCCTGTAGCCCTCCCCTGCTCTGGGAGGGGCTCATTTCTAACTTGTCACGGCCTGTCTCTGCCCCACTTATCTTCATTAGCTTGGGAGCACCCACTGACTGAGGAAGAGGAGAGAGGAAGCTGAAAGAGCACGTGGGTCAAGGGGAAGGCTGCTGGGCATCCCAGGCCTCCCTGTGATGACCCCGTCTCTGCAGGTGCCCATCCTCTTCTTGACGTCCCAGCCCACCCTGCATTCCCCTCCCCACTATCTGGGCCCAGTTTCCATAGCAACATGGCCGCAGGCTAACCAACAGATTCCAGGGAGAAAGACATTCCTGCATTTCTCAATGTCACCTGAGCCCCTCCTATTGCACACTTGTGGCCCTGCTGCGGGAGTTTCAGGGTGACACGTAGCCCTTGGAGGTCTTGAGGACAGCCCAGCCCTTCTGCATTTTAGGGAAACCCTTGACTTAAGGGCAGTGGGGAGCTGGTCAATGTCCGAGACAGAAAGCCCTGGTTTGGAGCAGTTGCTGATTTCCGTGGTGTAAATACCCCCACCGTGGCCAGCGGCAAGATGTCACTCAGCACGGGAAGAGACGCACAGGCACACGCCATTATATAGCATCTCCTATCCCCAGACACACTAGGCACAAACACGAGAGTGTAGTAAAAGAATTAGAAAGTCATGAGCTTGGAGTACTTACTGCCTTTGTTTTGAATATAATGCATTCCATTGTAAGATTAGTCCATCAAAGTGTTGATAACGGCTGGCTCACAGATTTCCTGACAGCTTCACAACCGGCTCTTCTAGGGTCTTCCAGGCCATTCCTCACATTCCCTCTGTCTACAGCCTTTCCCACACTGCCCGGCCTGCAGCTTCCTGAATTTCTCCCGTGCATTCAGCCTTCACCCCCCCCACCCCCCGCCTTTATACTTCCTCCTCTCGGGCGGTATCGACCACATTCTCACACTTACCCTTAGTTGGCAACTAATACCTTCTTGGCAGATGCTTGTGTTCTTCCTTATGGTTTTCTCTATTTTTCAAATGTTCTACAATGAACCTGTGTTTCTTTTATAATTAGACCAGACTGGTTAAAAAATTTTTTCTGACCAAGGAAAGTTTGTGGAGAGGGGAGACATCAGTACTGAGATTATCTACAAGGACACAATGAAGCAGCAGATAGGTAATTATTTGCTTTCCTAAGACAGACCTCTCCCTGGGATGACATCCAGGGGTTAGTCTGTTAGGTGGCAGCCTGGAGACAAGATTTTGCAGTTGGATTGGGCATCTCTGCAGAACTCCCAACCCCCTGAGACACCCAGGGGCAGAGATGGCACTGTGGGAATTCGGAGACCGGGACAACCCGGCCACTGTGCCCAAGTGCGGCCCTTCTCCCCTCTGTCGGTGGGCAGGTGCTGGGTCTGCGGGCCCTTCACTCTCCGTGCTGACTGGCAGGGACTCACAAGCCTCCCTCTCTCCCTTCCTCTGATGCGAGCCAGGTGCCCCCTGCTCAGGGAGCCTTCCCTACCCCCTTCCTAGATGGGGTGTGGCCGGCCCTCTGCTTCCTTAGCAGCCTCTCAAAGGTCTGGTTCCGTGGTTACCCACGGGGTGTAGCCATTTGGAGTATCCCCGCTGGTGCGTGGCCTCCCTGGGCCCAGAACAGCCCTTCCATGAGCTGCTGAGTGGATTAGGAGACCCTGCCATCCCCCTCCTCCAGGAGCTGCTTCCTGATCCCTATCTCCCACCCCTCACTGCTCTCATGGCGCCTTCCCTGAATGCTGGCTGTGTCTGTTTGGTCCTTAGTCTACTTGCCTCCACACCAAGGAGCACCTTGAGGTCACAGCTTGTGGTACCTGGTTCACTCGCCCCAAAGTGACCATCCCAGGGCCCAATGCATACAGGCTGCTGCAGAAATCAGTGGCTGGGCTGGGGCCAGCCTTGGGCCCCCCAAGTCGCTTGAGGGCACACCTTGCTCCACCCAGCTGGCCCCAGAAAGCACTCCACCCTCCACCCTCCGCACGTTGTGGTCCTGATCTTCCCGTGAGGCTTCAGCAGGCCAGCCTTCTCCCTGGCTCTGACCACTATGCAGCCCAGTCAGGCTCGTGACCTTGACTCACTCCCTTCATTTTGCTGAACTTCGGTTTTCTCATCTGCACAATGGATCGTTGAGGTCAGGATTCGGGGGAGATGCACATCAGTGCCCAAGAAATGGCGGTGGTCTTAGAAGGGTCACTTCCTTGGTACCTCCCTTAGGTTGTCTTGCCATGTCAGGAGGCTCTGTGTGTGTCACCTTTTCTCTTCAGCGACTCTGTCATTGCCTTGAGGACAGAGATCCTGTCCTTCGTGTCTGCGTACTCTTTTCAATCCTCCTGCCCGAACCCATTTATGGACTGACTCCCACTGGGAGAGAGGGGTCAAAGTCTTCCTCCAGCCCTGATGTCAGATGCGCAGTCATTGCCAAGGGGGACTCTCTGCGGATCTCCTAGTGCTCTGGCTTCAGTGCTGCCTGAACGAGAAGCAGGTCCTGGAGTGAGGAGGATGGAAGTGTGGGTGGCTCCTGCTGGAGGATGTTCTAGGGTGGGGGCCGAGCCCCCAGACCCAGTGCCTAGTCACGGGGGCTCCCTCATCCCCAGACAGCACTGTGTAGGGGTAGGGCTGAGAAGTGGGGCTCACCCGGGAATGAGGGTGGAGAGCACACTCGTTGGTTGAGGAGACTGGGGTGTGGGTCGGCGGGTTCTCACGGGGGCGTGTCTCTGCCGCAGGTGAACGGGAAGGAGCTCTCCAAGCTGTCTCAGGAGCAAACCCTGGAGGCCCTGCGCTCCTCCAAGGAGCCTCTAGTGATCCAGGTGCTGAGACGCAGCCCCCGCCTCCGGGGGGACAGCTCATGCCATGACCTGCAGCTGGTGGACAGTGGCACTCAGACCGACATCACCTTTGAGCATATCATGGCGCTGGGCAAGCTGCGCCCGCCCACCCCGCCCATGGTCATCCTGGAGCCGTACGTCCTGTCTGAGCTGTGAGTCGCCCTCAGGAGGGCCCCGGGCCCTGCCTCCGGAGAGGGCACGCCACCCAGAGGCTACGTTGCTGCAGCTCTGGGTGTGGCAGGGAGACCCCGACTGGCCTGCCCTCTCAGGCAGGAAGCAGGCTCCTTGGCCTCCAGAGCTGACTGTGGCATCCAAGGGCTCAGCAATCTCTAGGCCTCTACAGCCTCAGGCTGGACATCAGCCAGTGAAGGGACCAGGGGAGGCTTCACACACAGGCTCCCTTTGGTATCTACCCCCCAGGGCCAAGGCAGGAGCATCCTGGGAGCTTGCTCCTGGAAGGTTGAGGGCCTCAGCTCCTCCTCCTCCTCCATCCTCTCTTCTCTGCTGTCCATCGTCTTCTGCCTCTCAAGCATCCCTCCTTGAATCTTCTCACATCCTTGTCTGTCCCATCCTCCCCCTGCTCTGAACTTCCTCCATCTCTTCGGCTTCTTTCTGGCCCAGTCGGAAGAAGGGCCTCTCATCCAGGCCTGGTGGCTCATTCCGCTAATCTAAACCCATGATGCAGAGCGGTGGTCCCGGGATCCCCTCCTCCACAGAGAGTGAGGCCCCTGGCCGCCAGCAGCCACGCTTAGCCTTGGGGCAAGGAGGGCTGCCCCTGGAGGTAGAGTGGGTCCTCCTCTACTCCCCAGCAGTCCTCTGGGGCCTGGATAACTCCTGGGGGCGTTGCATGAGCGGGGGTGGGGGGGCCAGTGCCGGGTGGGAGGGGCACCTGCAGTTTGGAGAAGTTGGTACCCTGCCGGCTGGGCTGGGCTGGGCTGGGCGACAGGGTGGGATGGGGTAGGGAGAGCTAGGCATGCCTGTGTCCTCAGTGCAGACCCCTGCTCACTCCCGTTCAAGAAGCATTCCTGGTCTTTGCATGGATGCATGTAGCTCAGAAGGAGGGGCTCCATGCCGAGCTCACTGGGACCGGCCAGCCCGGGAGCTGGGGCGAGGGCACTAGAGGAGCAGATGGCTGGCCTGACCCCCCTTCTCCTGGGCAGCCCCCCCATCAGCCATGAGTATTATGACCCGGCGGAGTTCATGGAGGGCGGCCCGCAGGAGGCAGACCGTATGGACGAGCTGGAGTATGAGGTGAGCCAGGTGGCCAGGCCAGGGCAGGGATGGCTGTCTGCAGCCCAGCTCAGGCCTGGCTCCTCTTGTCCCCAGGCAGCCGAGCCTCGTGGCCCTTGCCGAAGCGCGGCTGCTTACTCAGGCTCACGGGTTGAGTTGGGGAGGGCATGGGTGAGGTCCCTTAGTCAGTCTGCGTAAGCGAGTCTGTGTCCCACGCATGTCTGTGTCCTGTGTGTCCCGTGTGTCTCGTGTGTGTCTCGGGCATTTCCTGGCAGGGGAGACCACGGCACACGTGCACTACTCGGGGTGGTAAGAGAGACCCTCCAAGCTGGAGGCTGGAAACTTGGCTCCGGGGGTCGTGCTGCTGGGGTTGGGGCTGGGCCGTGGCTGCCGCCCCCGTAGCATGCCTCCTCACTCACACGTTTTGGGGGCTTTCTTCCTTTGCTTCCCCCACGGCCCCTGTGGCAGGAGGTCGAGCTGTATAAGACCAACCACCGGGACAAGCTCGGCCTGATGGTTTGCTACCGCACGGATGATGAGGAGGACCTGGGCATCTATGTTGGAGAGGTATGAAGGCAGGGTGCGGGAGTGGCTCTTCTAGGAGGCCGTGGGGCTCCACGCCTCCTCTTTGTGTGCTAGGACATCCGGGCTGGACGTGGACGGCGTCCATCTGTACGGTACCGGCAGCGGGGAGGGGAGGGCACGGTGGTGGCAGGTGCGGAGGCGGGGTCTGACCCACGGAGAGTCCGCACACCGTCCGATCCCTGTGGCCTCTCCATGCCGCCCGGGGCTCTGAGGCTGCCCAGAAAGCCCCGGCTGCCAGGGGCAGAGCCTACTTAGCATCACACGGGGCAGCTAGTGGCTTCGGTGTGTGTTCGGCCAGGCCGTCCTCCCCAGGAGACTTGTGCGCAGGCTGGGCCGGTGAGCAAGGCTGAGGTCTGGGCCCTGTGATGCTAAGCCCCTCCTGGTACTCACAGGGCTGTGCTTCCCCACCTGTCCGTGGCGGACACACGTGTGTCCACAGGAGGGCGGATGGCTCGCCAGCTGCCCCCACATTCTGATCAAGTCAACCTTTGTACGAATATCTTCCTGCCCATCGAGCCCCAGGGCTGGGGTGTGTGTGTGTCTGTGTGTGTGTGTGGGGGGGTAAGTGTTCGGCTTCCTGCGTTCACCCAGCCTCTGACGTGGAAAAGAACAGGCTTCCGTGCACAGGAGCGTGCGAGTGCCAGCTGGGGGTGGGCCTGGGCCTGGGGGGGGTGGCAGGGGCCGGGGAGCTTTTGGCTGGCTCGTGCTGGGGAGAGGTGACTAGCCCGAGACCCACTGTTTTGTCCCTGCCTCCTGGAGCTCAGAAGCTTCCAGTCTGAGCTGAAGAGGGAGCAAGCAAGGAGACTTTAGTTTGCTTTGGGACCTCCCCAAGGTGAGGGGGGAGGTCCTTTCTACTGAAAGGTCCCCATGACGCGTCTGCCTTCCAGGTGAACCCCAATAGCATTGCAGCCAAAGACGGCCGGATCCGCGAGGGGGACCGGATCATCCAGGTGAGTGGGCGGGGGGCGGGGTGCGGGGAGGCCTGACGGAGGCCCCACACTCTACTGGCCGCTCAGTGACCTCTCTCCTGCTGTGCCTGAACCCGGGGCTGGGTCTCCTCTCCCGCACAACTGCCCCGGGGGGCTCCCAGGAAGAGGGCGCATGCTCACTTGGTTTCCATCCTGTCAGAGCTCAAGAGCCTTTCCTAGGCCAGGGTGCTCTGCTTGGAGCTCCCTACGAGGGGGTCCCTGCAGCTCCACCAGGGCAGGGCCCACCCCAGAGCCAGCCCTGGCATTCTTTGTGATGGTCCCTTGGCTTGTCGCAGATAAATGGTGTGGACGTCCAGAACCGGGAGGAGGCAGTGGCCATTCTGAGCCAGGAGGAGAACACCAACATCTCCCTGCTGGTGGCCCGACCTGAGAGCCAGGTGTGTGTGTGCCAGGCGGGATATTCTGGGACCCCTGACATCGGGCTTTCTGTGGGAGCTGCTGGTCCGGGACAAGGGCACAGGCATGCCAGCAGCCTGGCACTGACGGAGGGCGGGCGGTGTCTTTGGGGCCCATTTCCCCTTGGGGCCACCCTCTCCCTTGGGTTACTCAACTTCACTGAGACCAGGAGACCGGGTATGGGACCTAAAGGTCATCGGTGGGGTGATGTCTGGGGCAGTCCTCAAAGCAGTGGGGACAGCACAGTTCTGTCTCTGCAGCTGGCAAAGCGGTGGAAGGACAGTGACCGGGATGACTTTCTGGACGACTTTGGCTCTGAGCATGAGGGCGAGCTGCGTGCGCGGAAGCTGAAATCCCCCCCTGCCCAGCAGGTGAGGAAGGAGGCAGGGCGGGCAGTGGGGAGCGCCGGCGGGAGGCCAGCGGGCTGGGCCATGCGGGAGATGGGCTGGACCCAAAGGCCCTTCTGATTCCGACCCCGGCCTGCGGGACTCCTACTGAGTGGGCCTCATCCTTCTGCCCCAGCTTGGCAACGAAGAGGAGAAAGGGGTCCCCGATGCGGGCACGGGCCTGAGCAATAGCCAGGAGCTGGACAGTGGGGTGGGCCGCACTGACGAGAGCACCCGCACCGAGGAGAGCTCCGAGCATGACCTGCTGGGGGATGAGCCCGCCAGTGCCGCCGACACGCCCGGCGCCCTGCGCAAGAGCCGGGACCTCCACTTCAGCATGGACTCGCTGCTGGCAGAGGGGGCAGGGCTGGGGGCTGGCGACATCCCGGGCCTCACCGACGAGGAGTACGAGCGCTACCGGGAGCTGCTGGAGATCAAGGGCCACCTGGAGAACGGCAACCAGCTGGGCCTGCCCTTCCCCCGAGCCTCGGGCGCCAACAGCGCCCTGGATGTGAACCGCAACGAGAGCCTGGGCCACGAGATGGCCGTGCTGGAGGAGGAGCTGCGGCACCTGGAGTTCAAGTGCCGCAACAGCCTGCGGGCGCAGAAGATGCAGCAGCTGCGGGAGCGCTGCATGAAGGCCTGGCTGCTGGAGGAGGAGAGTCTCTATGACCTGGGGGCCAGTGAGCCCAAGAAGCGCGAGCTGTCTGACATCTCCGAGCTGCCCGAGAAGTCGGACAAGGACAGCACCAGCGCCTACAACACGGGGGAGAGCTGCCGCAGCACCCCGCTGCTCGCCGAGCCCGTGCCAGAGAGCCCCCTGAGGCGGGCTGCCGCTGGCAACTCCAACTTGAACCGGACCCCCTCCGGCCCCACGGTCACCGCACACCCCAAGGCCGCCGCCCCGCAGGGCAGCCCCGCTAAGTTCCGATCTCTCTCCCGGGATCCCGAGGCGGGCAGGAGACAGCACTCGGAGGAGCGTGTCCGCCGAAGCCCCAAGACGGGCGTGACCCTGGAGCGCGTGGGCCCCGAAGGCAGCCCTTACCTCTCCCGGCGCCACCGCGGCCAGGGCCAGGAGAGCGAGCACTACCACAGCTGCGTGCAGCTGGCCCCGCCGCGCGGCCTGGAAGAGCTGGGCCGTGGCCCCCTGAGCTTGGCTGCCGGCCCTCGGGTGGGCGGGGCAGCGGTGGCCCCCGAAGCACCCCGCATGGAGTGGAAGGTCAAGGTGCGCAGCGATGGGACCCGCTATGTGGCCAAGCGGCCCGTGCGTGATCGCCTCCTCAAAGCCCGGGCCCTGAAGATCCGCGAGGAACGCAGCGGCATGACCACGGATGATGACGCGGTGAGCGAGATGAAGATGGGCCGCTACTGGAGCAAGGAGGAGCGGAAGCAGCACCTGATCCGGGCCCGGGAGCAGCGGAAGCGGCGCGAGTTCATGATGCAGAGCCGGCTGGAGTGCCTGAGGGAGCAGCAGAACGGCGACAGCAAGGCTGAGCTCAACATCATTGCCTTGAGCCACCGCAAGACCATGAAGAAGCGGAACAAGAAGATCCTGGACAACTGGATCACCATCCAGGAGATGCTGGCCCACGGCACTCGCTCTGCCGACGGCAAGCGGGTCTACAACCCTCTGCTCTCCGTCACCACTGTCTGAGCCCCGCTGTGCTCCGGGGCGGGCCCTCGGCCCCAGCCCAGGTCCAGTGGGCCTCCCAAGACCCTGTCCCCTACTCTCCCTTAGAATCTAGTGTGTGTCTGTGTGTGTGTGTGCACAGGATTCTGTGACCAGAGAGAAGCCCCCAGGAGAAGGGACGCTTCTCTCCGTCGGCTACTTCCTGCTCTCCAAGTACAGCGACCACGGCGACAGCTGGCATGGCGGGGCAGACCTGTAGCAGGCGCCCCTTCAGCTTCGTGCGGGCCGCGTGTGCGCATCACAGGCCCAGGCACATGTACGTGCACACACACGCACACCCCTCCAGAGCTCTCTGCGTGGCTACTTGGGGACAGGAAAGGCGAACTGGAAAGCAGAGGCGAAGAGGACTGTCCTAAGCACAAGAGAATGCCTGGCTTTGAAGCAGCCTCGCCCCCTGCCGGGAGCCTTGGTTATTTGTAGACAAAGGCAACCCTGAGTTTTGTGGTTTTTTTCCCTTCCTGTGCTTGCCAATTGTTGTTTTTCTGTTTTGTGGACCTGCTCCGGGGGCTGGCAGCTCCTTCAGGCAGCCTGACAAAAGTGGAACCCCCAGTGATGGCTGGGAAGGAGGTGGGTGGGGGGAAGGAAGAGAGGGAGGGCTGGGGCAGGGGGAGGGGAAGGGTTGGGGAAGAAGGGGAGAATGGGAAGCAGCTTTCTTGGTGGTCTCCACTCTGAGGTATGGGGACGGGGAGCCTCTGATGTGGCTTGTGAGGCCCACCCTGGGGGCCACTTCCTTCCCTGATGACCGAGGGAGAGCCAAGACATAAGTAGCAGGGGAAGACCTTGGTGACAAGACCCACGCCGAGCTGAGGGAGGGGCCTGGACCCGAGAGAGCCGGGCCCGGCCAGCTGGGCTGACATGGGAGAAGATGCTCTGCACCCCACTCTGCAAATGTGGACCAGGCCCAGACCCCCGGGCCCCTCTAGCTCAGAGAGCCTGAGACTGGAGGCAGACAGGCTGCCCACCCCTGCCCCCCATCAGCATTGAGAGAATAAAGCAAGCTGCCTTTTTGAGGTGACTCTTGGCCTCTCTGTGTTCATTTTCATCGGGCTGGGGGAAGAGATGTGGGTTTTGGTGGGGGTGGCAGGGCGGGGATGGGCAAGGCATGGGCCAATTGAAAGCTGTGCCTCTATGCTTTCTGTCACTGAGGAACTGCCAGGTCTTCTGAAGTCCCTCTTCTACTCTGAGAGGAGGCGTGACAGTCACTGGAATTGTTTCAGAAGTGTGAGGTCACAGGGGTGATGCCCAGAGGCAGGCCCTGCCACCAGTGCTAAGCCAGGCCTCTGCCATGTGGATGAGGCCAACACTGGTCCAGCGGAACCCTTGAGAAGCGGGTTCTACCCTCCTCTACCCTCCAGCTCAGGAAGAGTCCTAGAAGGGGCACGGAGTTGGGAACTTATGAAAGGCAAACTACCCTCTTTGTTTGGGGGCTCCCACAGTGCCCAGCACGGAGACTGCCGAGTAAATGTCTTTTGGCCAGATGGATGAACATCCGGGTGGCCACAGAGGACCCTTCCATGTTGGGAACTCCCAGAGGGGCAGCCACATGCTCGAGATTCCATTCAGTGCAGCAAACCACGGGGCTTCTGCTAAGTGCCAGGAACCACGCTAAGTGTTCGGTGGGGTCCTGGGGCTCCAGCTTGGTGTGTGTGTGTCACCCCCTGGGCTGGGACGTACAGCAGTGAAGGAGCTCAGTCTCCTGACTGACACAC